CACATACTTTTAGCATGCATATGTGGCCACAGAACATGTGCATGTGGCTATATTTCGTCGAATATAGATCTAACGTGGTATCATCTAATATAAAAATTTATGCTAAAATTAAATAAAAATTATGTTTTTATTTTTATGAATGCAGATATTTATATTATATTGAGCTATGTTAAAATTATTCTGATTCATAATTTAATATCTTGTATAAAATACAGGTTTTATCATATGTATTCATACAAAATAAATATGACATCGAATTACAAGAAGAATTGAATAATTTGAAGCAGGATATGATAGCAATTTCTATAGTGGATCATTTTGCCAAATATGCTAAACTCCAACGTCGAAGCAATCATGTGGAAAATATTCTAAAAAAGAACAGTGAGTTTGTACATTTTTTCTTCATTGTATTATTAAGAAACTTGTAAAAATTTATTATAATAGAATTAAAAATAAATAATAGATTAAGGAATATATTTTTTACAGAATCATATAAATCACATAAGATTGTTTTATTATTACACATGAATAGTTATTATATAATTTTGTATATATCTCAACATATATATATCAATGTTTTCTTTATAGTGACTCAACGACTAAAGTGGAAGTTAAAATTACAGATGTGGCTAATTTACAGTTTTCATGCACTGAATGTATGTAAATGGATTGTTTAAGAAAATTCTTTCTACTCTTATAATATAGGATTAAAGAATTAAAAGCAAAAAATTATAAATATTTTTTTAAATTATACATTAAAATAAATTTGCTTTTTCTTGTAAATTATATAAAATAAAAGAATATTGCATGACATTTTATAAATTTGATTGATTGAATAACGATATGAAAAAGAGTTAGGAAAGTCAGTTTATTTTACATTAGTATATCACAAATAAAAGAAAATATGATTTTTTCTTTTCTATTACAATTTAATAGTTAATGAAATATCAAGAGTCTTAATATGCAAAGAAATGATAATCAAGTTTAAGGCTTTATTCTTTTTGCAATATCTAATGATGCTTTATGATACTTTCAGGGCATGTTAATCTTATGGCTATTATATATGTATAAAAACGAACCAGTTATTGTTCTATCAAAGAATATATTATGGCCGATCGAGGATTTGTTGAGTTGGTCATGTCAACATGAAAATGCTATTTCTTTACTAGTATGGCTTATGATCACTCGATTAGGAACGTCAGCATGCAACAGACTTTATGTATAAGAATATCTAATGAATTTTCATGTAAATAATTAATTTATATGTTTTATTGATAAAAGGTATAATTAAAAAGATCTCATATGAGAAGAATTCTCTATCATGTACCAATTGAATTCAATCCATGAATAATTTATGTAATGATAAACAAAATGTAGAAATGTTTCTATAAAAAAGTTTTTTATAATAAACTTTTATAATAAATTATAATAAACTTTTCAATTTTTACATAATTATAAGTTAGAAAAGAAGAGTAAAAGTTATCATATTTTATTATTATTATATTACAACCAAAACCAGCTTAAGTTTGAAAAATTTAATTGCAGATTATATTTTACATCTGTCATTGAGAGTGATGAAAATAATTTTCTAATATATATTTTACGCTGACCAATATCTTGCAGTAATCTAAAATTATCGCCTAATGTATCCTCGCCATTTGAGAGTTTCCGGAACATGTTCATCTATAATAAATACAATATACATGTTCATCTATATACATATAATATATATACATATAATATATAGAATATATGTGCGTGCGTGCGTGCGTGCGT